TTCTCCATCCTGTTTTGTTGCCTTGCTGGTGAGGGGTTGTGATCGTTTGGAGGAGGAGAGGCATTCTGGTGTTTGATGATTTCATCTTTTTTGCACTTGTTTCTTCCCATCTTCCTGGATTTATCTACCTTTGGCCTTTGAAGTTGGTGATTTGGGACGGGGTCCCTGAGTGGACGTCCTTTCTGTTGATATTGAAGCTATTTCTTTTTTAGTTTTCCTTCTAACAGGCCCCTCTGCTATAGGACTGCTGGAGGTCCACTCCAGTCCTTGCTTGCCTAGGAATCACCCACAGGGGCTGCAGAACAGCAAGGGTTGCTGCCTGTTGTTTCCTCTGGTAGCTTTGTCCCAGAAGGGCATTCACCAGATGTCAGAGCTCTCCTGTATGAGGCATCTTTTTGGTAATATGGGGGTCAGGGAGCCGCTTCAGGAGGCAGTGTGTCCCTTATTGGAGCTCATAGGAACTCCATTGCTCCCTTTAGGGCTGCTGCAGAGGGACCCTTGAATCTGCTGCGGCAGAACTCACAGTTGCCCCTTTTCCTGGTTGCCCTGTTCTGGGGAGGTGGTGTTTTATTTATGAGTCCCTGACGTGCTGCTGCCTTTTTTTCGGAGATGTCCTGCCTAGCAAGAAGGGAATCTAGTCACAGTGTGCCTTCAGAAGCGCTGTTGGGCTGCCGCGGGCTCAAGTCCAGCTGCTTTGTGAGCTTCCTCTGGCTTTTGTTTACACAGGTAAGATTAGAACCGCCTTGGTAATGGCAGACACTCTTCCCCGCACTGAGCTCCATCGTACTGGGTGGAACTCCAACTGATGTGCTGGCTGGGAAACTCTCAAGCCAGAGGGTTTCAGTTGCTGGTCTTTGTGGGGGTGGGACACGCCAAGCCTATCAGTTGGCTCCCTGCTTTTAGCTCCCCCTCTTTCTGGGGAGTGGGAAGCCGTGTCTCGCAGGAGCTCCAACCAAAACATCCACCCAGATTTGCACAGACAGCCTGCATTGGAGCGGCTGCTCAGATCTATGCTGGTAACTCTAGGTGCTTGTCAGCCCAGCAGGGATCTCCTGGTCTGTGGGTTGTAAAGACCTTGGGAGAAGCACAATATCTGAACAGGAGTGCCGGAGGGGAAAAGTCCTCGATGGCCTCCATAGGAGGGGAGTCCTCTGGCCAGTTGCACTTCCCAGGTGAGGCAGTGCCCCACCCTGCCTTGCTTTGCCCTCCTTGGGCTACACCAACCTCCAACCAGTCCCTTGGAGATGAACCTGGTACCTCGATTGATCACTGGTCTTCTGTGTGGCTCTTGCTGGGAAGTGCAATCTAGAGCTGTTCCTATTCGGCCATCGTGGTGGAAGTTGTACCATTAGGTTTTAACCTAGGTCTTTTTTTTTTTTTTTTTTTAACCTAGGTCTTTATTTCCAGATGTTTCTACTCTTCCAATGTTTATTAAACTTAACCAATGCAGTTTGAGCCTCAGCCATGTTAGGGATTTTCCTCGATTAGCTGCTTTGTAGTACAATCTAGAATTTTTAGTCTTCCGTTTATTTCTTGAACTAATCATTCAAGTAGATTGAAGGAAGAGTTAACTGTAAGGGTATGAAGAAGCGTGGCTCAAGATGCAGGGTGCATTTTGACAAGTACTCTTCTGGCTCTTTGCCTTCTCCTTTTTTGTTGCTGCTTCTGCTTAATTAAAGGTTCTGGCTTATATCTAATACATTGTTTTGGTTTGTTTTGAGACTGATGTCACCCAGGCTGGAGTGCAGTGGTTCATTCTTGCCTCACTGCAACCTTCGACTCCTGGGTTCAAGCAATTCTCCTGCCCCAGCCTCCTGAGTTAGCTGGGTTACAGCCACCTAATGCCATACCTGGCTAATTTTTTGTATTTTTAGTAGGGGTGGGGTTTCATCATGTTGTCCAGGCTGGCCTTGAACTCCTGACCTCAAGTTATCCGCCCACCTCAGCCTCCCAAAGTGCTGGGATTACAGGCATGAGGCACCGCACCCAGCCAATACATAGTTTTTTGTTTGTTTGTTTGTTTTTGAGATGAAGTTTCTGCTCTTGTTGCCTAGGCTGGAGTACAACGATGCGGTCTCAGCTCACCACATTCTCGACTGGAAGAGTTCAAGTGATTCTCCTGTCTCAGCCTCCCCAGTAGCTGGGATTACAGGCATGTGTCCCCACACCTGGCTAATTTTTTGTGTTTTTAGTAGAGACAGGGTTACGCCATGTTGGCCAGGCTGGTCTGGAACTTCTGACTTCAGGTGATCTGCCTGCCTCAGCCTCCCAAAATGCTGTGATTGCAGGCATGAGCCACCACTCCCAGCCTCGATATATAGTTTTTTTTGTTTGTTTGTTTGTTTTGAGATGGAGTTTCACTCTTGTTACCCAGGCTGGAGTGCAATGGCACGATCTCGGCTCACCGCAACCTTCGCCTCCTGGGTTCAGGCAATTCTCCTGCCTCAACCTCCTGAGTAGCTGGGATTA